AGATCCTGGAGCACTGAGGAACTACAAGAGGACTGGGAAAAAGCTGTTGTGGTTCCCATCTTCAAAACAGGGGAAAAAAATAGATCCCGGAAACTCAGACCAATCAACCTGACATCAATACCTGGGAAGATCCTGGAAAAGCTAATCAAGCAACAGATCTGCAAACACCTAGAAGCAAGCGAAGTTATAACCAGAAACCAACACAGATTTGTCAAAAACAGATCATGCCAAACAAACCTTTTCTCATTTTTTGACAAAGTGACTAAATTAGCAGACCCCAGCAAAATGCCGTGGACATAGCAGCCAAAAAAAACTAATACAATCCTTGCTTGTATAAACTGAGGCATAGAATCAAAACCACATGAAGTATTAGTACTGGTTTATAAATCTTTAGTAAGAACACACCTGGAATACTGTGCCCAGTTTTGGTTACTACATTACAAAAAAGATGTTGAGACTTTGGGAAAGGTGCAAAGAAGAGCAACTAAAATGCTTAAAGGACTGCAAACTAAAACATATGAAGAATGGTTGCATGAATTGGGTAGGACAAGTCTAGAGAAAAGAAGGACTATGGGTAACATGATAGCAGTATTCCAGTATTTGAGGGGCTGTCACAAAAAAGAGGGGAACAACTTATTTTCAAAAGCACCAGAAGGCAAGACAAGAAACAATGGATGGAAACTAATCAAGGAGAGAAGCAACCTGGAATTAAGGAGAAACTTCCTAACAGTGAGAACAATTAACCAGTGTGACAGGTTGCCTTCAAAAGTTGTAAAAGCTTCATCACTGGAGGTTTTTAAGAAAAGACTGGACAGCCACCTGTCTGAAATGGTATAGGGTCTCCTGCTTGAGCAGGAGGTTGGACTAGAACAGGGCTTTTCAACCAGTGGTACGGGTATCATCCTGTGGTATATTGGCACCTGGCAGGTGGTACACGACCATCCTAGAAAAGTGGTAGCGGGGGAGGGGAATGAGCTGAACCGGTGGCAGCAACGCACAAACCTGAGCGAGAGATGGCTGGAGCTGCAGGGCTGTCAGGGCTCACTGGAAGCACCAGGATCAGCGCCAGGTTCAAGCTGGAACTCGGCGCTGATCCTGGTGCTTCTGCTGAGCCCTGAAGAAGCACCAATCAGCTGGAAAGCAGCATTGATCCTGGCACTTCTGCTGAGCCCAGAAGAAGCATCAATCAGCTGGAATGTTGCAGCATCTCCAGGGTCTTGTGATTTACATTCAGATGCTTGGCAACTGATTCATATTTATGACAGTCACAGTGTCCCAGGGTCATGTGAAATGACCAAAACCTGCTGCAACCACCCAGCAGACGGGGGGGGGGGGATAAAAACCAAACAGCCCCCACCCCTGCTGCCAATCCTCAACAGAAATGCTCAACAATGAAAACCTCGGACAGGAGGAAAAGCGCCGCCGGGTGGGCAGGCCAGTGTCTTGCTTGGCTGTGACTTGGGGGGCACTTTTTTCAGTGCAATTGTAACTTCGAACAGTCACTAAGCGAACTGTTGTAAGTCGAGGACTACCTGTACTTCATCACTTTTTTCCTTTTTTTTTTGTTTGATCATCAAGTTTTTGACACCTTGCTAGGTGACTGGTGGTACTCGGATATTGCCATATCCTAAAAGTGGTACAATGGGTGAAAAGGTTGAAAAGCCCTGGACTAGAAGACCTCCCAGGTCCCTTCCAGCTCTATTCTGATTAATAGTATACTTGGATTTCAGTAAGGCATTTGACAAAGTAGACCACAACCTACTTCTTGGTAAGCTAGAACAGGGGTCCCCAACCCCCAGTCTGCGGACCAGTACTGGGCCGCGGCCTCTTAGGAACTGGGCCGCGCAGCTGGTGCACTGAAAGCGCATCTTCCACTTCCAGGAATGCGGCAAGCCTGCAGGGGTCTGGGCACGGACACAAGCTATCTACTCAGTGCAAGGTCCTCTGACAGCTGCACTTGCAACTGGTTTGCAACATCTGAGCTCTGCATCCTTCCTCCTCTCCCTCCTCCTGCTTCTTCTGCTATCTCTTCTTCTGACTCCTCTTCCTGGTCCTGCTCTCTCTTCCTCCTGCTACTTCTTCTTCCTCCTCCTCTTCTTCCTCACTTTCCTCCTCTCCCCCTCCTGGCACTCCAGCTGGGCTCGTGCTCCCTTCATGCAACTCTTCAAGTCTGTAAGACAAATGCGCACAAGACCAACTTGCAACTAGGAGCTCCCCCAAAACCTGTTTGGAGGTGGACCCCCCCCCAAGGCATGTGTGTGACAGGGTATCTTTTTCAGGGTGCAAATAGGGGCAGGGAGAAGCTACCTTTCACCTTAAGCACTGCAGCTCCAAGGAATTCTCTCTCTAGTCTGCACCTTTTCTAAGACCGCTGGGCTCCATTGCACTTCAACTGGAGTTTTTTGCTTTTATTTTGATGCTCCAGGTGCCTCATGTTTTGGCAACATCCTGCCTGCTTTTCGAGTTTTAATTTGGTCTATTTGTGTTTATGTTCCTCCTTTCTTCGTGCAGCTCTCCATGTTCGCAAGACAAGTGCGCTCCTACTTGGCTTGCATGGGGGAGAGGAAGGGGAGAAGCTACATTTCCCCTTAAGCACTGTGTCTCCAAGGGAATCCCTCTCTCATTTGCACCTTTTCCAAGACTGCTGGGTGTCAACTCTACAACAAAATTAGCTGAAGCCATTTTCCCTTCGTTTTCGGTTGCCACAGACTTGGGAGAAGGGAGATGAGAGTTTTATCTTAACCATAACAATACATTGTTCTGTGGGAACCAAGGTTATTGCTAGCTGCATTTTGGCGGGTTGTATCTTTCGTTAGAAAGCCCACACAAGTAGTTAATTGGGGAATGTGATTTATGACATGCTACAGTAGTGGGAAGTTTCACTTGTAACTTTGTAACCTTGGGGGGGGTGTGTTTCAGTTTTGGGATCACTTTTGACTGTGCCGATATTATGTAGCCAAATAAAAGGAAGCTTTTTACCCTCGGAGTTCTTTTTACTGGTCTCATCTATCGGAACCATGAAATTGGTCTCTCTCTCTCTCTCTCTCTCTCTCTCTCTCTCTCTCTCTCTCTCGTGGTTTTCTCAGCATTTACTCAGCATGCTGGGTCTTTGGTTTGTTTTGCTGGAAGGCTGAGTTTAGGATTGTCTCTTTTCTTTTCCACTTTCTTAGAAGCAGAAAGTCACTGGTCTAATCTAATCTAATAACAGAACTAAAGTACATTATTTCTTTGTTTGTTTGTTTATTTAGAAAATTTACAACAAATGTAATGCACTTGAATCATCCTGAAACCTTCCCCCCGCCCCGGTACATGGAAAAATTGTCTTCCATGAAACCGGTCTCTGGTGCCAAAAAGGTTGGGGACTTCTGAGCTAGAAGATAAACAGCATCACCACCAGATGGATTTATAACTGGCTGACAAACTGCATTCAACAAGTAGTTTTTAATGGAACTACATCTACATGGAGGGAAGTAAGCAGTGGCTACTCCAAGATTCTGTCTTAGGCCCAGTACTCTTTAATATTTTCATAAATGATTTAGATGAGGGAACAGAAGGGGAACTCATCAAATTTGCAGATGACACCTATTGATGATGCCCATGATGAAAGAGGTCGCCTTTACTGTACAAAGTTATATCAAACTGGAACATGGAATGTTAGAGGCATGTCCTTTGGAAAACTCAAAATTGTAAAAAGAGAAACGTTTGGAGTGAACATAGACATCCTTGGCATCAGTGAGTTTCACTGGACAGGCAGTGGTCAATTCAAATCAGATGACTTTATGGTTTATTTTTGGTGAAACAGTATCATCATACAAAAAGGAGTTATTTTCTTGTAATCACGGGTTAAATGTGTTGAGAATCACAGAGCATATAGCAATCGCATAATATCTATCCAAATTTGAGGCAACCCACTCAATATCACCATACTACAAATCTATGCTCCAGCTGTAGATTCAAATGACAATGAAACTGAACTGTTTTACCATCAGCTTCAATTTGCTCTCAAGCATATACAAAAAAAAAGGATCTTTTGTATACAGTATTATAGGCGATTTCAATGCAAAAGTAAGCCAAGGAAAAGTTGCAAGAATAGTATACTAGTTTGGGCCATGTGAACGGAATGAAGCTGGCAATTGCCTAGTATAATTTTGCCAGGTAAATCATCTCAGCATAATAAACATGTTCTTTATTCAATACAAGTGATGTTTATATACATGGGCAGCGCCAAATGAACAACATAAAAATCAGGTAGACTTCATTTTATGCTAACAATGCTGGAAAGATTCAGTTGCATCTGTTAAGTCAATATACTTCCTGGCACTGATTGTAGCCCAGACCATCAGCTATTAGTGGCTAAACTGAAGCTCGAACTGTGCTAAGTGAAAGAAGGTACTACCCCCCCCCCCCCCAAATTCAATGTGAACAACATCTCATTTATGCATGCCATAGAAGTTAAGAATAGGTTTGAACCATTGAATCTATAATTATTATTAACCCTTATTTGGATAATATAATTGTGCCAAATAATCAAAGAAATAAAAAGGCAAACTATAACACATATTTTGTTGATCTTGCCTGCAAATAGCATGTATTAAAAATTTCAAACAATCTGGAAAAATGGTGAAATGGACAGTCTTTTTATTAGCTTATTGGCTAGTGATCACGTTTGATAATGCAAATTGTGTTTTCTAATTGGATATATTATAGAATAGTTTTTTCCCCTTCCATTCAATCATGTACAATTCTCAGAGACTGCTTAGCAAGTTCCTGCAGTTTTCTTTGTAAGGTTTTTCAGAAGTGGTTTGCCTTTGTCTCCTTCCTAGGGCTGAGAGCAAATGACTGGCCAAAGATCATCTAGCTGATTTGTGCTGTAAGGAGGGATGTCAAAATGTCCCTGTTTTTGGCCTGATGCCTTAATCACTACACCAAACTGGCTCTCATAGAATAGTAAGTATATCAGCAATATTAAGAATTTTTCATTATTCATAATTTGTCCCTACCTTTCTGGAATTAAAATCTCTGTACTTTGTTGTCGTTTTATACGGGGTGGAGCTGGTCGTGCACTACTGGGTCGTGGTTTTCTGTTAAGTAGGGGAGAAATTGTTTTTAATAGTAAACAATTACGATTACTGTTATTGCTATACTATTACAAATTAATTTTAACACTTTCAAACATCTTCAGCATATATCTTTAAGTTCATATATAAATGCATCTTTGAGAATTAAGCTAGCATGAATTAATGTATCTGCATTATATATCTTTCAATTGTAATGTATCCAAATTCTGATTCACATATTTTAATTACAATCCTAAATTCTAAAAATAAATTCTAGCAATACAAGTGTTTTCACTTGTTGCTCTTGATCTAAACAGGCTATACACACTTTATAGACCTGGTTTATGGACAACAAAGCTCCGGCAGTTACAGCAGAGGTGGAACAGCCAAGACCTAGTGGCATCCAATCTGTGGATCCCTGGGCTCCTGAGATTGCAATGTCAAATGGCCAAATCTCAGTATGGTTGTTCTTAAAAACGGGAGGGAGGAATTAGAAGCCATCACAAACTGAAACTATTTTATAGTCTTATAATGCCATTTTTATATCCCTACTCTCACAACTCAGGCTATAATGTTCTACTGTATTTAGCAACAAAATGGCTGAGCTTAAATGACAATATGATTTCTTTTAAATGAAGAAGGTTGCAAATATTTAACTCCTTCAAAATCTTCTTGAAAACCCCCAAGAATCTCAAAATAATACAAAAAATATTGGCAAGATATTGCCAAAGGCTGATCCAGTTGAACATACAGAAAATCTTTCTCCATTGTTATAAACAGAAAATTTACATTTCTTTCTCTGTGAATATAGGTACTGCTATTTTGGGAAACTATTATTTTTTCAATTAACAGAACCTCCAGAGTTTAAAATACCATGATTCCTCAAAAATAAGATCCGCCCAGAAAATAAGCCCTAGCATGATTTTTTAATGTGCACCTAATATAAGCTCTACACCCAAAATAAGCCCTAGTTAAGAGCCCGCCTACTCCGTCCCACCGTCTGGTTGCTCATTGCTGCAACAGGATTGGTGCCACTGCCACAAGGTGAGGTGAGACAAGGCAGGTGGCAGGGGGTGGAGCTGCCCCATGCGCCCTGCACCTGCGCACTACAGGGCCCCCACAGCTAGACCATTCCCAATCAGCGACCTCCCCCCACCTGTTCAGTGACCCGGCTGCCTGCCCATCTCTTCCCTTTCACTCTCCTCCCAAGCCGGACTGCCATGCTACGGAGGATGGGCAGGGGAGGCTCAGTCCCCTTATCTGGTTCCCCTCCGCCATTTCGAACCAATGGGAGTGATAACAAAAGGCCACTGCCACCCCTGGCAACAGCCGTGTCTGCCACTGGAGGGCTTTCTTTGGTCCCCGCCGCCCCCTTCGCTCTGCCCCGCCCTGCAGATCACTTTGCTCAGTGGCGGGTGGCCACCTCCTCCTCCTCCACCTGCTACTTGGGATCTGTGGCGCTGCCTCACACTGCCTGCTCCCCATTTGTCACCTGTATTGTATGGTTTCAACGGCGGCAGCTCTGGAGGCCGGTGTTAGGCTGTCTGCATAGTCCGTGGGCTGGCGGTTTCAACCTCCTGGCCCTCTTCACAGATCTGCCCATACAGCCACGGGAGAGTTATACCAGGGCTGGAGGTAGGGCGCTCTGAAGACCACGCTGCCATGACTCTAGCCGCCAACTCTCCCGTGGCTGTATGGGCATAGCCGGGGATTGCGATAACCCAAAGGAGCAAGTGGAAGGCCAAGAGGCTGCAGGTTGGGAAGAGTCAGCAGAGTGGAAACCCCTGACCACCTCGGTGGAGCAGCTGTTGGAGAAGTTTGTTGGGATGGAGATGCGAGGAGTGGAACCAGTAAAATCCCCAGCACGGAGGACAATGCTTGGAATGGATCAAGCTGCGGTGACTTTGTCCCCTTCTTTGCCCCTCCCAAAGGTGCTAGGTCAGGTGTGTCAGGGGATGGCAGGGGACCGGGGCGCAGCCAGGATCTTGCTGCTGGCCACCAGGCAGTCCCAGGCGGTCCTGGCAGTAGCAGGAGCTCCAGCCCTTGCTGCCTGGTAATTAGTAGAGGTGCTGCCCGGTTACTTATGGTCAATGATGGCTGTGAGCTACCGCCTTTGAAGGCCATGTTTGAGGGGTGGCTGAAGAAACTTGCCTATTTCCTGAACCAGGTGTGGCTCTACCTGGAACGGCATGGAGCAACATTCCTGGATAAAGGGGCCTGTGTGAACTCCATTGCTACAAATTTGAAAGAATCCACTGAATGGATGGTGGCGCTCCACAAATAGGAGATTCTGGAACTGGGGAACATTGATACTTTCCTAGAGGGGGTCTGGGCAAGTTTCAGGGACCCCACACAAGCCCACCGGGTGGAGCCCGAAATCTGCTTGATTTGGCAGGGGAACCGGTCCATGGCTGAATACATTCGGGAGTTCCATAGCCTGGCCGGGAAGCTGGGAGGATAGCCAGAACACTTACATCAATTTCGAGATGGCCTAAATAGAGAGGTGTACCAGAATTGCAAGTCCCAGGAAATCCCTGATGACCTCCAAGCGTGGTACCAGCTGGCCACCATAGTGGAATTGGATCTAATGGAGTATTGGCAACACACAGTGCCTGAGAGCCGCCCCGCCAAAGCCAAGAGAAATGCTTGCCAATGCGCAGAGGGGGAGGGGCTTGCTTCCAATGTGGGAAAGAAGGCAACAGAGCAGCCAACTGCCTACTCCCCTAATCCACATCAATGCCAAAGGACCCGAGCCAACCCAAGCCGAAGAAAACTCCAAAGATGAAGGAGAAAACATATGCAGTGTAGCAAGGCATGGAGGTCTCCCCACAATCAAGCAAAGGGGAAGGAACTCTGACTCCTGCCAAACCTAGACCAGTTTTTCATGAGAGACACAGTGAGGGGAAGGATGAAGCAATGGTAAGTAGTGCCATCGCCCCATTGACTGCTCAGGTGGAGGTAGAAGGTGCCCCAGTCGGGAGCAAGGGGAGTCTTTACCGCCTTGTTAGACTTTGGGTGCAATTGCTGCTTTGTCAGCCTGCAAACAATGGAGTTGTTGGACTGAAACTTAAGAGACTAAAGCAGCCCATGAAATTCGAGCAAGTAGATGGCTCCCTCACGGAAGGAGTGCCTGCAACCTGCCTGACAGAACCAGTGAGCCTAAGGGTAGGGAGCCACAAAGAAACTGTTCAATTTATTGTAGCCCCAAAGATGGCAGAGAATAGGATTGATATAGGGTGGCAGCACCAGTACTCTTAAAGAAGAAATGTGGATCACTGAGACTGTGCGTTGACTTCAGGGGAATCAACAGGGTATGCATAGAAATATGTACCCCCTCCCCCTCATGGAGGACATGCTGGGGCACTTGTCCAAGGGGAAGGTGTTTACCAAACTGGATTTAAGACAGGTGTATTACCATGTGAGGATTAAGGAGGGGAATGAATGGAAGACAACTTTTAATTGCCTCTTAGGGTGCTACCAATTCCAAGTGATGCCTTTGGGGCTACAAGGGGCGCCTGCTGTGTTCATGCAACTAATTAACGAGGTGTTGCATGAGCACCTATACAATATACGTGCAGATTCTTTTCATTTTTTCATACATAATTTTCTGTGATATTTAAATACCAACAAACACACCAATAAAAACAAAATAACAGAAATTAAGGAAATAATAAATAAATACAATTTGATAATAAATTAAGTCAGTAATACCTGAATAAAGAATTATTGATTAATAAAACAAATATATTGAATAGCTTAGAATAGAATAGAGATGGAAGGGACTTTGGAGGTCTTCTAGTCCAGCCCCCTGCTCAAGCAGAAGAACCTACACCAGTGATGGCAAATCTTTTAGAGACCGAATGCCCAAACTGCAACCCAAAACCCAGTTATGTATTGTCGGGTGCCAGGTGGGCGTGGCCCATTGGGTGGGTGTGGCTGCGGTGGTAATGGCAGACTGAGTGGGACTAAAAAGTTCAATCAGTCAATTCCAACTTTGTGAGATCTTTTTTTTTCCCGTGAGAAGTTGAAATTGATTGTTTGAGTGAACCTTTTTTTTTTTTGCACATGGCAGCAGAGACCTAAAGCGAAAAGGTTTTATAAAACTCAGCTGAAGGCCTAGGACTGGGGCGATGGCACGCGTGCCCACAGAGAGGGCTCTGCGTGCCACCTGTTGCACGTGTGCCATAGGTTCGCCACCATGGACCTATACCATCTCAGACAAGTGACTTACTAGCCTCTTTTTAAAAATCTCCAGTGATGGAGCGCCCACGATTTCTGGGGGCAAGCTATTCCACTGGTTGATTGTCCTCACTATCAGGAAGTTTCTCCTTAATTCCAGGCTGCTTCTCTCTTTGATCAGTTTCCAACCATTGTTTCTTGTCCTGCCCTCTGGTGCTTTGGAGAATAATTTGACCCCCTCTTCTTTGTGGCAGCCTCTCAAATACTGGAATACTGCTATCATGTCCACCTTATTTCTTCTTTTCTTTAGACTAGCCAAGGTCCTGGTTTCCAAGGTCTCAACATCTCTTTTGTAGTGTGATGACCAAAACTGGTTGCAGTATTCCAGGTGTGGACTCACTAGGGTTCTATAAAGTGGTACTAATATTCCATGTGATCTTGATTCTAATGCCTCTGTTTATGCAACCCAGGATTGTATTAGCTTTTTTTGGCTGCTGCTGCACATTACTGGTTAATAGTCAAGTGATCGTCCACTAGGACTCCATGGTCCCTCTCACAGTTACTGTTTTTGAGCCAGGTCTCACCTAATATGTACTTATATCTTTGATTTTTCCTGCCTAAATATAAAACTTTACTTTTCTCCACATTAAAACTCATTTTGTTGGATAGGGCCCATTGTTCCAGTTTGTCAAGATCTTTTTGAATCCAGAACTTGTCTTCTGGGGTGTTGACTATTCCTACGAGTTTAGTATCATCTGCAAATATGATGAGTTCCACTTCTATTCCCTCATCTAAGTCATTGATAAAGATATTGAAGAGTACTGGGCCTAAGACAGAGCCTTGTGATACCCCACTTCTTATTTCTCTCCATGTGAATGTAGTACCATTGAGGACTACTTGTTGAGTACGGTTTGCCAGTCAGCTTCAGATCCATCTGGATCTACAAAGCCATCTAGTGATGATGTTCTCTATTCCACCTTTTTCTAGTTTACCAAGCAGTAGATTGTGGTCTACTTTGTCAAATGCCTTACTGAAATCTAAATATACTATGTCCACAGTGTTTCACTGGTCTACTAATTAGGTCACTTTATCAAAGAATGAAATAAGATAGGTTTGGCATGATCTATTTTTAACAAACCCATGCTGGCTACCAGTTATAACTTTGTTTGTTTCTACTTGTTCACAGATCTGTTTTTTGATTACCTTTTCCAGGATTTTCCCCAGGTATTGATGTTAGACTGATTGGTTTATAGTTTCCTGGGTTTCTTTTTTTCTCCTTTCTTGAAGATGGAAACCACATCAGCCCTTTTCCAATCCTCAGGTACTTCCCCGCTGCTCCAGGATTTTTGAAAGATATGGTGCAATGATTCTGAGATAACATCTGCCAGCTCCTTCAGAACTCTGGAATGTAATCTGTCGGATCCTGATGATTTATATTCGTCAAGGTCGGATAGGTGTTCTCTTACCATTTTCTTGCTTATTTTAATTTTTGTTTGTAGTTTGTCTTTTGCAGTATTTTTTGGGGTATGTTGTGCTATAATTTCTTTTTGTGTTTCTTTTACTTCCTTGCCATCTTCTTTCTTTAGTGGACCTAGTTTGCTTGACCTTTTTCTTGTTATTAATATGTTGAAAAACACTTTTTTTATTATCTTTGATTTCTGTTGCAAGTCTTTGTTCATTCTGAGCCTTTGCTTTCCTGGCTTCGTCTTTGCATGTTCTGGCTGTCTGCTGATAATCAGCCTTAGTTATGTGTCCCTCTTTCCATTTTTTGTACTTGTCCATTTTGTAGTTCTGTTTCTTTTAAACAATTTGTATCCATCCATCAGTCCATTCCAGTCATGGGTTTCGTCCTACCAGGTTTCTGTAATGCCAACTATGTCATACCCACCCTTGTGCACTATTGCTTCTAGTTTAGCCTGTTTGTTCCTCAAGCTTTGAGCATTAGTATATAAACATTTAAGACTTTTATCTCCTGATTGTTGTTTGATTTTTTTTCTTTTTTTTCTCATCACTCCCTACCTCTTTGTTTGATTTGCTTTCTTGGGATTTATGATTGGTTTTGTGTTCTAGAGATTCTAATGATTGGTCACCCTTCCCCCTCAATTTTAGTTTAAAGCCCTTCTAATGAGTTGGGCTAGTCTTTTTCCGAATACATTTTTCCTTGTTTTCGTGAGGTGCAGCCCATCCTTTGTCAAGAGTCCGTTGCATAGGAAATGCAGACCATGGTCCCGGAAACCAAAGTTTTCTTGGCGACACCAACCTTTTTGCCAATGGCTTCATGATACAGGCCAATGCTAGCGAAGTGGCCATGGGGGCAATGCTACTCCAAGAATAAAGAGGGGAGGCCCCAATCATGTGCCTACAGCTCCCAGAAAGTAACCAACACTGAGACGCATTGGGCGGTGTGGGAGAAGGAGGCTTATGCAGTCCAATGGGCGCTGCTGACCTAGAGACAATTTTTAGATGGCAGCAAGGTCCCTTTTGAGGTATGGATGGACCACAAGAACTTAGAGGCCATGAAGACCCCAAGATAACTATCCCCCAAACAAATCCAATGGGCTCAGTACTTCAATCGATTCATCTTTACCGTTCGGTACTTGCCAAGGGAGAAAAACTTCGTAGCAGATGCACTTTCTTGCCTGCCTCAGTATAAGAGCTCTAGGGAAGAGATAATTAACTCGATCATCCCCTCCAGGCTGCTGGCAGCACAAGGCTCCACGAGGCCAAGATTTTCACCTCCCTCTCACCTAAAAATCACCTAAAAATTGAAGGAAATCCTAGGGGAGGATGAATGGTTCAGAAAGCATAGAGAGGATTTGACCATGAAAGAAGACCTGGCCTGGAAGTTGTATGTTCTGCCTAACCTAAGAGATCAGATCCTGCAACAATGCCATGATGTGAAACCCGTGGGCCGTTTCGGGTTTGTGAAAACCCTCCATCTAGCTAGGAGGCAGTTCTGGTGGCCCAAGATGAACAAGGATATAGAGAGCTACATTTTGGGATCCCCAGTATGCCCATCCATGAAAAGATTGCTAGGAACACCTTCTGGACTGTTGCAGCCAATGGCTAACCCCAGCAGACCGTGGAAAGAAATTGCTATGGATTTCATTGTGGAACTACCTGAGAGTTCTGGGAATAGTGATTTGGACTGTGATCGACCTGTTTTCTAAACAAGCACATTTTGTGGCATGCCTGAAAATCCCATCAACCTGAACTTTGGCCAAATTGTTTGTGCAGTATGTTTATTGGCTGCATGGAGTCCCAAGGCACATCATCTTTGACTGGGGGGTGCAGTTCACTGGAAAGTTTTGGCAGAAGTTTATAAAGCTAATAGGCTCCTCACAGGGGCTTAGTTCTGGGTTTCATCCAAGTACTAATGGGGTGGCTGGGAGGACCAACCAATAAAGCAATATTTACGTTGCTATGGATTTGCTTCTTCGGTTCCAAGATGTGTATTCAATAAAGTTTATCTTTTATGGCACTCAGAAGCCTTGAAAATTCCTTAATATTGAGTTCGCTGGTCAGGCAGTTATATAGTAGATAGATAGATAGATAGATAGATAGATAGATAGATAGATAGATAGATAGATAGATAGATAGACAGACAGACAGACAGACAGACAGACAGACAGACAGACAGACAGACAGACAGACAGACAGCAAGGCAGCAAGACAACTACCATTATAGCACCATTAAGAAATATTAAAGTTTTAAATATTAGTTTAAAAAGAATGTTTAGGCTTTGTAATATATCTTGATTATTAGCATGAATGAGTTATTAATGTTATTAATGAAAGGATATATAATCAGACCTTTGAGTGATCTGAGATGGTATTTCATTTGTAAATTCATTATTTTCAGAAATCTTTTCTGTTGTACCAGTATTCAGAACGTCTCCCTCTGTGGAATAAAAATAATTTTATTATGTCATTTTGAGGAAACGCCTCCAATATTTGTTCTTTGTCTTACTGAAATATATTAGATTTATTAAATTAAATATTGTACAGAAATCAAGTCCAATGCATAATATCTGTATATTATAGATTACTGGTAGACAAAAGTTTTTAATTTGACTTCCAATAAAACATATATCTAAATTTCTCATTACTGAAATGAAAATCATAAAGGCTTATTACCTGCATCACCAAATGATTCACCTGCAAATTAAACATATTATTTTTCAGACTGAGTAGATCAAATAACTTGTTTGTTGTACACAGAACTGAGGACAGAGGATACAAGCATACACGAATAGATCTTCCCCACCAATTCTAAGATACTTTATCTTGATCATGAGAAAAACAGCATAGCTTTTAAAATATCCAGATAGCAAATCACTTAGGCTGAGAAGTGTTGACAGCAGATATAAAAATCCAGTGAAGAATTATGTAATAGATTCAGATTTAGGACAGAATTCAGTGGTATATTTCACAATTTTAAAAGTGATTTCCACTCAAGGTACTACACTATTATAAAAAAGTATGTTAGCACTATCGTGAAATAGTCACAGTATCATTATACTTAAGCATATCAATAGAAACAAAAGATAAAGAAATGGTTAATGTACAAAACAAAGAAAAAAGGAGAAATAAACAATCAGCGTATCTGTAATTTTTCATTTGTAATGTTTTAAATGCCTGTATTCCATATAATGGGAATACTACAAAAAGTCATTATGCATGATAAGCTAGTGTTTATTTATTTATTTATTAAATTTATATGTCACCCATTTCACTGGAAAGCAACTCTGTATGGCCTACAAACATCACAGAAACAGAGATACAAACATTAAATATTAAATAAATAGAAATTAAATAAGTTAAAAATCAGAATATTACAGTATGGAGATGGGATCCTCCTGATCCATTCCAACATGAAATGCCCCCATCTGGACCCCAGGCCAGTCGGCAGAGCCAGGTTTTGAGGTGGCAGACTAAGCAATGGATTGAGCAGCAGTGGCCATACAGTGGTGGTGAGTCAAGCAGCGACCGTAGTAGGCCAAGTATTGGCAATGGGCCAAGTGTTGGCGGGCCAAATGGTGACAGTGGACTAAGCAGTGGCAGATGGGCCAGCCAGCAGACCAAATGGCAGTAGCAGACCAAGTAATGGTGGAATGCTAAATGTCACTATTGGCCCCAATGGCTTATCTGAGGAGCAATGCCTAGGCCCCACTGAGGAGCTGTATCTAGGACTCGCTTGATAGTGGGGCATCGGCATCAGCAGTGGTGGTTGTGATGATAGCAGTGAGATAGATGGCAACAAGAGGGGCTGTAGCTGTCCCAGTGGCCTTCCTAGGAAACAGTGCCGAGACCCAGTGGCATCGGTCCTGGCAACCTAGCATCCAGACCCATCTAAGAGATTTGTGGTTCAAACAAATGCTTCAGATATTGCCAATGGAGCTGTTCTTCCACAAAAGAGGGAGAGAGAAAACAGTTTCTTGCCTAGCACTTTCTTCTCTAGAGCTTTGACTACCCCAGAATGGAACTCTTCAATAAAGAGTTCCTGGTCATTAAATCCACATTCCAATACGGGAGACACTTTTTGGAATGAGCACATTTTTTACATAGAAGTCAACAAAGACCATCAAAATCTGCACATCCTGCAACAGACCAAGCTGCTTTCACCCAGACAAATCAGATGGAGCCAATTCTTCTCACACTTTAATTTTTACATTCAATACCTTGCAGGCTCAAAGAATGTGATGCCAGATGCACTCTCTTGCAAACCAGAATATTCTCAAGTTCAACAGACTCCTATACCAACAACAATTCTACAACGTTCGCATTTCTGACTTTGATAGCAACCAGCATCCACTGAGAGGTTAGGAACTACCCAACTGCACCAGGACTTAATCACCAGGATAAAAGCTCAGCAACATTTAGACTGCTTCTCACAGGCCTGGATGGATGGCCTCAAGGAAGCTCTAGCAGGCATCGTAACCCATTCACAATGGAGGGAGGAGTCTTAAAACATAAGGGCAGAATAGTAGTTCTTCCGCCTTGCAGGGAAGAGATTGTCAGGTCCCCATAGATCCCTATCGGGACACTGTCATTCTGGTGCAAAGGGGGGGGGGGCTCAGGGCTTTTCTGTGATGTATCCATTTTACTTTGTTCTTCTTTTGCTTTGATGTATCTTCCTGGGAAATGGGAGGGGGAGGGATATGCCTGGGGCCATCTGCTTTGTCCCATCCCCGGAGAACCAAGGTCATGGTGCCTGAGAACGACTTATCACCTTCTCAGCTCAGAGTTCTCACACCTTCGCACCTCTGGATTGGCTCTCTATGGACTGTGCAGTTGGGAGGGGTTTGAACAATGAGGTTTAATCTAGAGTTTTTGCACGGGAACTTTAGATCCTGCCTATTTTCTCTGCAATCACTATCTCTCAATAAAAGATCCTTTTGAAATGCTGCCTGCTTCAAGGAGTTTGACTTTCTTGAGGGAATATCTGAAGCGAGACCTTACATTAGGCAGGATCTGCAAAGTGGTCAACCTGGAGCAGCACCAGCCCTACCATGGGGATCGTGCATACAATGTCTAACCAGGGCAGCGAGCATGAAGAAGTTGAGTATTGGGGGGAAACCTCCACCAAAACCCATCCTGACACAAACTCCACTGGATGGACGGAGGAAGCTGCTGCCCTGGAGGAGCCTTCAAAGCCGAGATGGTCCATTGGTGTGGGGAAGAAGGAGGACTGGGAAGGAGTCACCCTCACCGTGGCAGCCGATAGCATGGCTGGAGGCGCGAGATAGAAGCGCTGTATGATGACGATGAACTGGAGGAAGAACCGGATCACGCCAACCACCACATGAAGCAAGCAATATGTTTCCATGATGGAAGCTTTCTAGAGTCTGAAAATGCGAGAGGCCATAGCTTGCATGGAAAGAGATGACGGGAGGCACGAGGAAGCCACATGTGGAAGGGGGGAATCCTTGACCCTGGAGACAGCTGCCGGCACCCACCGAATCTGCAGAGAGGGTGACAACCACACCAGGCAGCCCTCCCCAAAGGGACCCTGGTGGTGCAAATGTCCGGAGAATCAATGGAGGAAGACCCCATCAGCAGGAACAAAAGGCACCCCCTCTTGGCATGAAGTTTGATGGAGACCCCCAGCTATTCGGATTCTTTCTCACCACGTCCTCACCTACATGCAAGAATACAGGCGAGACATCCCCACCGAAGGTGCTAGGATTAGAGTCATCATCCTGGCCCTGGAGGGGGCCGCCGCCTGATGGATGGTGACCAACACCAATACCCCAGAGCTCTGAAACTTTAACCGCTTCATGACACCGCTGAGATAGAGGTCCTAAAAGCATTGCTAGACTCGGGATGCACCAAATGCTTTATAAGCCCAACCTTAGTGGGAAAACTGGGGGTCCGCCTGAGGAGATTAAAGAACCCGATTACTTTTTGTCAACTAGAAGGGTCAGTTGCAGGGGGTATCCCAGCCACTTTTGCCATTGAGTCCCTGGGCCTAGCCATGGGAAGCCACTCCGAGACTCTAACCTTTATAGTGGCACCCGGAATGGAATGGCCCCTCATCTTAGGACTGACTTGGCTCAAAAAATGAACCCGCGGGTGGACTGGAGGGACTCTTGAAGTTCCCAAAAAGGGAGAAAGGCCCCACGCAATGGCAGCCACAAGGCAAGGAAGGAACCCCGAAGAGAAATGGCGGCTGCCTTGAAGAGCGAGTTGCTGCAGGGCATACCCTGAGAATATCACTATTTGGTCGATGTGTTTAGTGAGAGAGGTTGAGACAAACTCCCTCCCACCAACCCACAAACTGTGCTATTGAGATTGTTCCCAGGGCCAAGTTGCCAAAACCAAAACTATATTCCATGACTCCAAGGGAGTTAGCTAAACTGCTCAAGTTTATAGACAAAAACTTGGCCTGAGACTTCATTCAGCCAGCCAGACCCAGGATGGCCGCCCCAGTTCTGTTCTGGGAGAAGAAAAATGGGTCTCTGCATTGATTATAGGAGTCTTAATGCAGTGTGTGTGGAAAATGTGTGCCCCCTTCCACTCATGAAAGATATGCTGGCCCACTTTTAAAAAGGCAGAATATTCTCTAAACTGGACTTACGGGATGTATATTACCAAAAGCCCTTTGTTATTCAGGCCGATGCCAGTGATATAACGATAGGAGCTGTGCTGCTCAGGAAAATGAGAAAGGGCAACTACAGCCTTGTGCTTACACATCAAAAAAACACAGAAACCGAGCAACGTTGGGCGATGTGGGAAAAAGTGGCATATGCCGCCTCACCTGGCAACATTTCCAGGAAGAGAAAAAAATCCCTTTTCTGGTCTGGACTGACCACAAAAACTTAGAAGCTCTGAAAACTCTGAGGAAATTGTCCCCCAAGCAGGCACAGTGGGCACAGCACTTTCAATGTTTTAATTTCTCCCTCCGTTACTTACTGAGGGGGAAGAACTTCTTAGCTGATGCTCTGTCGAGTCTACCGCAATATAATAGTGCAAAAGCGGAAGTGGTAAAACCTTTGCTCCCAGCATGACAATTAGCGGCTCAATTAATGAGAGCACAACCAAAAGGGGGGCCGCCCCTAGATAACACCACTATCCTGGCTTTCAAATAAGCCCTAGAGGAAGATGAGTGGTTTCTCAACCACAAAAATATTTGCTCCATGAAGGAAGGACTACCTGGTAGGAGAAAAATTATACATCCCAACCAGTCAGAGACTGAGAACTATGCAAACATGCCATGATACGAACCTGGCAGGACACTTGAGATTTGTGAAAACCCTACACATCCTAAAGAGACAATTTTGGTGGTCGTCCCTTAAAAAGGACATTGAAAGCTATGTGTCCAGCTGCCCCATCAGCGCGAAAGCCAAACGGAGGCAAGGAAAGACACCTGGCCTCCTGCAACCAGTGGCAAAGCCTTCAGCACTTTGGAGACAGATTTCTATGGATTTTATTATAGAACTGCCAGAAAGTGCGGGAAATACTGTTATTTGGGTGGTAACTGACTTATTTTCAAAACAGGTCCACTTTATCCTGTGTCAGAAGATCTCCACCACCAAAGCCATGGCAAAGCTGTTACTCCATCATGTGTACTGTTTACATGGGGTCCCATGTTGCATAATTTCTGATAGAGGGATCCAATTCACGTGAAAGTTCTAGAGAGCACTTTTGGACCTTTT